CATGCTGTGTGTGTCCTTATAACCAAGCCCCTGAAATGGAGGGTCAATTCAGCCATTGTGGGGGTCCTGTAGACACCTTCTTTCCCGGCCTGCAACCTTTCACTCTCTCCCTGTTCTTCATTGACCAGGAAAGGCCTGTTTGCCCTTCACCTTTCTTGGGCTGGAGAGGCACTGGGGAAGTGTGCCTCCACCTCCCGTTTGTGTAGAATTCCTTACAGGAATACCTTCTTTTCCCCCTCTTGCCTGGTTCTGCTGGCTAACAATATTATGCTGTTTACATTCTCTACATTTATATGCTAAAACTCAGTGGCAGCTCTAGGGATTAATATAATAAAGCAGTGGTTCCGTGGATGAAGGAATGTTGTCTCACTCAGTCTGAGTAAACCTGTGGCACTTAAGAAGTTGGGTCAGCATTGGGCTAAGGTAGGGTTTCAAACCCAAAGCAGATCCATGAAAGCTGAGCCTCTCTCCTTCCATAGAGATTTACAGCCTTAAAAACCCGATGTAGGGTTTTCCAATGGAAAGTAGGAATAAATTGGATGGTAGTTGATGATGTATTTAGTGGAATAATTGAACTAAATTGCTCCAAACTGATCCCAAATTTCTCTTTTTGAAATTCCAATCCAGTTTTGTCTCTGGGAGCCATGCAAAACAAGTTTAATCTTTTCTCTGCATGGCTACCATTTAAATAAACAAAGTAGCTATGTTCCCATTTGCAGTCGCAGGTTAATAGTTCATTCAGCTCTCCAGACAAATTATTTCACAGTACTGATCAACATTATTTTTTAAAAATTTTACTGGCATATCTTTCACATATCATACAATTTAATCATTCAATAATATTAAGATTTGTGCAATCAGCACCATAATCAATTATAAAACATTTTCTTCTCATATTCGTTGTTAGCTCCCCATTTTCCTCCATCCTTTCCTGCCATGCCCCTATGCAATCATCAGTTCAGTTACTGTCTCTGTAGATCTACCTATCCTGGATTTCAGAACAGAAAATCATACAAAACATAGGCTGGAAGCAAAATAATAAAACAAAACCAAAACACCAATGGCAACAATGGCTTGATAAAACACAGAAAAACACTATCACAAGAAATCAGAAAATTTGAAAAACGAAATCAATTTTAGAATGGGTCAAAAGGGAGATCAAATGATAAGGCATTACATTTTAACCCAACTACATCTGCCTCAGTTAACTTTGCAACGCTCTCCGTCTGGTAGCCAGGCTACTACTCACATCCCTGAAGTATGGTCAGAAAGCATTCCTTGGAGGTTTCATCCATGTGGGGACCGTACAAATGGATTTTGGGGCTCCACTGTGACCCATAGCCTTCTGCAAACTGAGTGTTCACAATTTAAACTGATACCATTGCCTTCTTCAGATTTGGATTTTATTATTTATAATCCTTGCATCACACAGGCTAGTGTGCTTCTACTGCTTGGACTTAGTTGATGGTTCACTTATATGGCTTGCTTGTTTAAAGATAAACCTTGAAGACCTCAGACACTCTTATTTCTGATAAACGGGCATCATCTGGTTTCTTTTCCACACTATAGCACCCATCTCTTCAGTGGCTGATCACTCTTTTTTCTGTGTTAAGAACATTTTCAAAGTATGGCTATACAAGAATGGTATAATGAGCCTGGACTCAAGACATTAAGTGAATGCAGACAACAAATTCAAATGGGAGGTCTTTGAAGGCACAAACCTTCACCACTACCACACCCCCAGCTGCCATTGAATTTGCTACAACCCATGGGGACCCCTTATGTGTCAGAGTAAAGCTATATTTCAAAGAGTTTTCATTGGCTGAATTTTCAGAAATAGATCTCCAGCATTTCTTCCAAGGTGCCACTGGATGGACTCTAGCTAAAGACAGCGAGTGGAGTTTGTCCGTATAATTGTTTCCAGAGCGCCTGGCACTTACTACGTTTTGATGACTATATCTAAGTGGCCTGATCAGTGCCCTTTCTTACTACATTCTTAGGACTATTGACTTATATATTAAGCCTGTGGCCAAAGAACACACTATTTGACATAAACTTCATTTACTTTTTTCTTAGTGAAGTTTTAGACCATTACAACAAAGCATTTTGCCCATTTCAGAGATAAGAGTTCTTTTTTTTAATACCAAAATTACTACCTGCCAATGTAATTCAGTTAGCTTCCTGACTTTGAATTGTATATAATTTATTTCTTCAATTTCTTTTCACCTAGAACATCAGGAAAAAAATATTCAAGGCAAGAACTTAAAAGGAGAGAGTAAAAAAGCAAGCCTTGAGAAAATAGTAATATTCTGCAGATATTAACACAGATATAGGAGTCACTGAGAAAAAGGCCCCGATTGAATTGCCTTCCCAGGAATTCTGTGGGGCTTAAGGGGCAAAAGGAATAGAGACTGGGTAGTCTGAGAAAAAGACCGAGACACCAAAGACTGAAGGGAGTGAGTCTAAGTAAAGCACTTGAACAACATGGAAGACTTCATCTCACATGTTTTAGGCACGTTTTCAGGATAGACCAGTCTCTGGAGCAGGGATCATACTTGGTAAAGGAGAGGGTCCACGAAGGAGGAAACGTATCAAGAGAATGGACTGACACAGTGGCTGCTACAGTGGACTCAGACAACAATGATCATGAAGGGGGCGCAGGACTGGGTGGGCAGTATTTCACTCTGTTGTTCACTGGGTCCTTATGAGTCAGAACGCACTAGACAGCAACAAGTTATATCAGGTCCTCTTCTAGGCCTTGTAAGGACTAGCCCAACAAAACCTACTGCCATTGAGTTGATGCTGGCTCATAATGACCCATTTAGGGTTTCCAAGACTGTAAATCCTTATGGGAACAGACATCTTTATCCCAACTGAAGCTGGCAGGTTTGAACCTTGTAGTTAGTAGCTCAAAATCTAACCTGTATGACCACCAAGGCTGGTTATGAAGTTTTCAGATTAATGTAAGAGATAGAAAAATATACAAGGAAATAAAATAATTATAAATCCTTATGAATATGAGGAAATATACTGGGGGCTCTGGGAATGAATAACAGGAAAATTATCTCTGCAATAATCAGGAAGAGTGTGGCTGAGGAGGTCCAGTTTAAAATAGGTCGAGAGTAGGAGAGAAGAACATTAGTGTCCAAAGAAGAAGACTGTGGCCAGCGCAAATCTCCTGTGTTACAAAGGAGTCACCGATCCCAAAGCAAACAAATACTAACAGTGAAACGAGGGGCAGAGGAGGAGGGTGGTGTGTGATGAAACTGGAGAAGTGATCGTCACCCACATCGTATCTGTTAGCCTTGAAGTTCATGCTGAAGGTTTTCAAGTCTGCAGTCTAAGAAGTAAGAAGTCATTGAAGTCTTTTGAATAAAGAAATGTGAGGGTCACGTATATTTTTTAATGAGGTCATTCTGCCTCCTGTTTGAAGAACAGATTGAGGCGAGGTCAAGGATGATGTGGGAGCTCCAGGTAAAAGTTTAGCTTAATCGTCCAGACTCACTGCCTTCCGGTTGATGGGGACTCAAAATATAACTGCCCGTGAGTTTCCAAGACTGTAACTCTACAATACAGCAGCTCTCTCTCCCATGGAGCTGCTGGTGGTTTCAAACTGCTAACCTAGTAGTGCAGACTAGAGAGCAGCTATATGCAGATGACACACTTTGCTTGCTGACAGTGAAGACCTGAAGCCTGATTAATGAACATCAAAGACAACAGCTATTGATGTAGATTGCATCTCAACGTAAAGAAACAAAAAGCCACAAAACTGGTCCAATAAGCCACATCATGATAAATGGAGAAAAGGTTGAAGTTATCAAGGATGTCATTAGATTTGGCTCCACAATCTACCCTCGGAAGCAGCAGTGAAGAAACTCAGGACATATCACATCGGGTCACTGCTGCACAAGAACTCTCTGGAGTATTAAGAAGCAGAGATGTCCTTTTGAGGACTAAGTTGTTCCTCATGGCAGACAGGGTATTTTCATTCGCCTGATATGCATGTTAAAGCTGCCCATGAATAAGGCAGGCAGGGGAAGAGTCGAACCATTTGCATTACCGTGGTGGTGACCAATAGGAAATACCGTAGGGACGTCCAAGAGAACAAACCACGCTGTCCTGCGGGAAATCCAACCAGCGTGCCCCTGAGCTGCGATTGTGGCAAGGTTTTTTCTCATGGACTTTGGACATGTGTTCAGCTCCCAACAGTCCCTGGAGAAGGACATCATGGTTGCTGAAGCAGGGGGTCAGCAAACCCGAGAAAGACCCTCCAGCAGACCGAGTGAAAACAGTGAAGGCAACCACAGGTTGAACTGTGCAGAGGGCACAAGGTCAAAGCTGAAAGGTTTCCTATGTGTGTGGGGGGTTGGGGGGTGGTGTGTGGCGGGCTTGATGCAGCGTATTTGGACTTCCTTTCAGCACAATTGTTTTGAGAAGCATTCTTTTGTTTTCTGAATGTACTACTCTGGTTGTGGGTAGCAGTGCCAAATTAAACACATAGCTCCTTTCAACTTGAATTTCAAATTAAAAAGTAGTTTTTAATGTATGTCCTAGGCAATAGCTGGGGCATGCTTGTACTAAAATTATTTTTTATTTCTCTGAAATTCAAAAATTATGCCCACTTCTAATTTACCCACAAGGATAGGTTCCAAATACCAAGTCGTGCAAAATTCAAAACCCAGCTTTACGTAAAATGTCAGCCGCAAAATGCTGCTCAGGCTCCCAGTGTCATTTTGGAGGTGGCCCCCTCAGAGTGGCTCGCTCCCCGGCAGCTCTGGCTCTTCTATGAGCGCTGACATGGATGCTTCCTGCGGGGCGAGGGGGAGGAGGGCAGGGCCAGATGGGCATTCTGGAACATACCTGCCTTCCCCTACTCCAGGGGCAATTCTTGCTCTCACCCACAGGGACCACTGCCTACTCAGCCCCCTACCCAGAAGTGCCCCGATGTGGATCACGGGTCTGCAGTGTCTGATCATTGCCCCTCTCTTACTTTCTCACAGAGTCCCAGTCTGAACCAAAATTCCACTCCAGAAGGCAGCCAGTCACCAGCCTGCGGGGCCCAGGCAGGATCCCACATGCCGTGGGACCCACTTGCTCGCAGGGTAATGGCCCAACGCTACAGCATCCAGTCGTTTTTCCCTCCACATCCATGACTGGGAAGCAGGGTTTGGTGGGAGGGATCTAGGACTTGGGGCTCAAAATGAAGGTGCTCTTTCCCTCAAACTATATGGGTTCTTACCTGGTTTGAAGGTAATTTAAGAAGATATTTTACTGTTACCCTACATGGGAAATGTTAGATAACGAGATCGTCAATAAGTGAGGAGGAGATGGAAATCGATAACCTGTTTTTAAATTTGCAAACTTTGGCAACAGTAGCTATTGATAGTATGTATTTGAACCTCCTTGCTATTGACTTTCCTCCAAGGGAGAAGATCTATCACCTCAAAGGAATTCTCTGCACCACTTACTGCTAGAAAGGCTACTGACATTCACAAACCACTAAACTAAAATTTCATTTCTGGAGCCAAAACTCTGGCCTCTGTCAAGCTCTGCGTCAGAGGAAAAGAAGGATGACACGGGGGTCCTGGGGCCTTTGGAAGTCAGCAGAGCCCAAGAAACAGGTAAGCAATCACCCGCCATGCCAAAGTGTTCAGGGGGTGTGGCCCTGCCAAGAGACAGGGACCCCTGGATGGAAGATTTCCTGCCCAGGGTTAGGAAGTTTTTCTCTAAAACCTTTACCTCAACCATGGAAGACAGGAGACACTTCAGTTTCTAACAGGGAATGTGGCAGGTGATGTAGAGCCGAGATATCGGTCCAAATCCCAGCTCAGTGTTTTTTCTGTGTGCTGTCAGGCAAGCAATACAACCCCTCTGAACCTGTATTTTAAACATAGGGATACTGTTTATAACAGTCTACAGTATGGATTACAACTCAGTGTAAAGAAGACCCATATCTTTACAACCAGACCAGTAGGTAGCACCATGCTAAATGGAGAAAGGTTGAAGTTGTTAAGGATTTTGTCTTGCTTGGATCCACAGTCAATTCTCACGAAAACAGAAGTCAAGAGATCAAAAGACAGGTTGCCTTAGATAAATCTGCTACACAAGACCTCTTCAGAGTACTGAAAAGCAATGATATTACTTTGAGGCCCAAGCCATGGTATTTTCTTTCAATTGCCTAATATGCCTGTGAAAGTTGGATATTAACTGGAGAAGAATTGATTATATGAATTGTGGTGCTGGAGAAGAATATTGAAAGTACCATTTACTACTAAAAGGACAAATGGATCTGTGTTGGAAGAATTATGGTCAGAGTGGTCCTTGGAAGCAAGGACGGTAAGGCGTCATCTGACATACGTGAAGTATGTTGACAGGAGAGTCAGGAGATTCCCTGGAGAAGGACATCATGTTTGGTAAAGTAGAGGGGTGGTGGGAAAGAGGAAGGCTTTCAAGGAGGTGGACAGACACTGTGGCTACAACAATGGGCTCGGGCACGGGAACAATTGTGATGAAGGTGCACGAGCAAGGCAGGGCTTTGTTCCAGTGTGTAAAAGGGCACTATGGGTTGGCACCTACTTTATGGCAACAAACAACATCTTATTGGAGGGATGATGCTTACACGGTACCTACTATAAGCTCCTTACTATTTATAACTCTTTTAACCCTCCCAGAGCTTTTACAAATGGACTATTGCTAACTTCATTTTATAGATGAAGAAACAGAGGTCTAGAGAGTTTAAATAATAGGCACAAGCGTAAAACGGTGAAGTTGTAGAGTCTCCTGAGTGTCTGTTTGCATCCATTACACCAATACTGGTGTAAGCAGGAATTCTAGAATGAGTTCAGAATTTTAACCTTATTCCAGAGATATATTTAAGAAAACACTTGTATTATTTTCTCATATGTAAGTGTATGCTGGGTATTGATTAAGAAAGACTAATGTAGCATCAATGTATTTGAAACATGGTGGGGCAAAGAATATTGAAAGCACTGTGTACTGCCAAAACAACACAGATCTGTCGTGTACAAAGCACAGCTCCCTTGAATTAAGGATGGAAAGACTCCTCTTGTGTCCTTTGGACATGTTATCAGCAGAGACCAGTCCTAGGGAAAGGACATCATGCTTGACAAAATGGAAGGGCAGCGAGAAAGAAGATGCTGAGCAAGATGGATTGGCACAGTGGCTGCAGCAGGGGACCACTGTGAGGATGGTGCAGGACCAGGCAGGGCTTCCTTCTTGTACTCAGGGTTGCTATGAGTTGGAATTGATTTGCTGGAACCTGACAACAATAATCCCCTCCCCAGTGCCCTCGCTCCTTTCAGCAATAGAAAATCAGAGAACTCTGGGTGGGCTGGAAGTCAAGCAGGAAGTTGTGTTCAATTTATAGCTGTGGAGACAGCAGCTTTTGGTGGGATCTTGAGCGAGTTATTTTCTCTCTCGGATTCCTTTATATGGATAAAATGAAACACCCCACACCCCACATCATGAATTCATACTAGAAAGGGCTAGGACTTATCATAATCCAATCGGTGAAACAGACGATGCCATACCCTTTCCATGAGCACTCTGCTTCCCTATTTAGCACATAGGGGAAATTCTACTCATTAAATTGGCAACTGTCATTACCATTGACTGTTAGCCTTCCGGTTGGAATGAGTTGCAAGGGACTCAATGGTGGTACTTTGCTTTGTTTTTCCTTCCAGTCTCGCCTCTACAGAGTTCAACTGCAGGAACAGTTGGAGAAGCTGCATCGTTTGGTTACCCCTCGCGTAGGATTTCAGACCTCACTGAAACGCTTCTAGCATGACAATAGCCTCAGGGCCGAGAAAACCCAGAGGCTTTTAAACCCGGCGTATTACTAAACTGTACGGTGACAAGGTCAGTGACCGGATCATTTCTCAGTCTGTTTAGTCTTCCTGCAGTCTGACCTTGGCCTTCTGGGCAGCTGAGAGCCAGACACACAAACGCCTCTTTAGGCCCTAGGCTGCACAGTGTTCTAGAAGCAGTCATAACCTCCCAAATCTACTTGATCCCTTGATCCCTGCCCCTTGCAGGGCAGGGCCCCCGCACAGAATGCAGGCCTTCACTTTTATTCCAGAGCAAGAACCCAAGTCCGGTGACCGCTGCTCCGCGCTCCGATCCGCTCAACACTGAGGTGCCTGCTTTCAGAGGAAATGGTCTCTGGCCTAGCTGGAGTTCACTGATATGTAAGTGATGAAATCCAAAGTACATTTGGTATTTGGACAAATGTCAAATGTTTTCCCTACGCCCCAGATATGAAATATTAATGAAGGAAGTTAAAAACAAAACAAAACACCCAACAACCACAGAAAGTGAAAGGCAAGCAAGCGGGTCCTCTGAGGCCGGCACGGTTTCTTGCCTGGAATAGCCCACTCGGGAGTCCTCTGGGTGGGCAGCGTCCTCACGACCCTCCAAAGAACTGTCCACCTTGCTGGTGGTGGTCAGTGCGGCCCAGTCAGTTGCACCTCACAGTGACCCGGTGCCCAACAGAACAAAACACGGGTGGCACAGTCCTGTGCCCTCCTCCCCAGTGCCTTTGTCATGCCCTCCCTCTTGTCCTCACTCCCCACCTCAGGAAGAAGGAAGCCAGAGTAATGGACTCTCGAAGGCAGGGTGCCTGGGTCCCCTTCATAGTCTCTCCCTGACTAGCAAGTCACTTTGCCGCGTCTGCAAAATGAACAGCAGCAGCATCAGGAGTTCACGCTGAGCTCGGCCCATAGAGTCATGCCACGGGTAAACCGGACTAAGGGCTATTCTTTGAGCGGAGACATACTTTTCTTCACCTATTGAGTACATAGACTATCCCCAGCTGTTGTACAGACAGATGGTCAGTTGAATTTTAATAGGCTTTTTAAAAAAATGCTGGGTGGTTTTAGATGTACAGAAGTGTGAAGAAAAAAAAAAAAAGAAGTGTGAAGATCATATAAAATCTCTATATACCTCTCACCCATTTTTCTCTTTTATTAACATACTAGGGGACATTTGTCACAATTAATTTTTCTAATAATATCTCATCCTCTCAGTCTATCTGGAGAAATAAGCACAGAGAAATATTTCCCTATTAAAGAAGAACAACGTTTGAACTTGACAGAGACAATAGGGAGGAGAAAAGACTGTGGTCAATGGGCACACATCCCCTATAATGAAAGGAGCTCAAATTCTGACTCAGTTGATGTTTGCTACACCGAAATGTAGTTTATGTATTCCTAGATCTGTTAGTGTGTGTGTGTGTGTGTGTGTGTGTGTGTGTGTTTGCACAGACATCACAACCCCAAATTTACACAAGTCAAAAAGCATTGCTATCATAAAATCTTCATTAAACATGAATATCAAGAGATATGTTATTATCATTCAACAGACGCTCCATTAATAGAAGGTCTACATACTTGTGGGAGTTGTACTTCCATCTATTTAACCTTTCCCCCAAAGAATTCTGCATGTCAGATGTCTTCACATCCTCCAGGGCCTCAAATCACATGCCTCTTAAAGGTTCTTTGAGTTTGGGGAACATGAAGAGGTCGTAAACATGAAGAGGGAGGTAGGGGGCAGGGGTGAGGCTTCCCAATGACATTCTTGTATGACCACCCTTGTTACCCTTGAAGAACGAGTCTTGGTGGAAATTTCCTCACCAATGCATTGTTTCGTTTTCTGAAAACTTCTTTACAATAAGGCCTGGTGGTTGTGTTTTACCTCTGGAAAGAATCTATATGATTATCCCCTTTGTAATCCCCAAACCCAGGTGACTTAGCCTTCTGAGTTGACCTCTCCGCATGGACTCTGCCCCAGCAGAGCCCCTTGAAAGCCACTGTCTGGATTGAGGCTGATTTTTGAAGGCGCCGTAGTGAAACTAAGACACATAACTCCTGAGCCAACTGGTCTGCAGCCCTGCACTATTCAGAGACGTGTTTAAATACTGGGGGGGGGCAGATAAAACTCTGTACGTATGTATTGGAACACTAGTAGCAATCATTTTCCATTTATCCTAGTATATGAACTCTTAAGAATAGTTTCATTTTTCCCCTCCTTTCTCAAAACACTTGCTGACCCAGCAAAACAGATATGGCATTTGAATTTGACCTGTGGCTCGGTGATCTCTAGCTATATTCATTTTATTGAGCTAAATAAAGTCAAAGTATCAACAAGGCTAGTTCCTTCGGAGCCTCTGAGGGCACGCTATGTTTTCCTATCCATCACAGCTTCCGTGCGCCGTCTGTACTCCCTGACTGGTAGGCTTGGGCCCATCTTCAAAGCATATCATACCTGTCTGCTCCCATCATCACATCACCTTCTCCTCGGACTGTAATCTCTCCTCTTATAAAGACCATAGAGTTTACACCAGGCCAATCCGGATAATCGAGGATAAGCCTCCCATCTCAAGATCCTTAACTTAATGACATCTTCAAATTCCCCTTTTCCATATAAGAGAACATTCACAGGTCCTGACGGACAAGACCGTGGTCATATTGGGGCATGGGGGTGGGGGTCGGTGTTCAGATAAGCCGTCTTCCAGCTACTACATCAAAGGATTCTCGCCCAATTCATTCTCAATCTCCTGAGTCTTTCTCTTGACTCCATTTTCCTGAGCTCCTGTCAGAGAAGCAAACCACATGAGCAAATGTGCCTGTGCCCGGCCCTGTGCTAGGCAGAGAGGGCTGAGTAAATATAAAAGAACAAATAGTATTCTCTTCCATTCCAACGGCTTCCAATCTACTGGGAAAGGACAAGAATTCACAAGATGGTATAATGTTCTGAGACCCACTTGGCTGGAAAGGATTTCACTAGATTTAAGGACTAAAACAAAGATAGACTTTGGGTTTTGTTTTTGTTTGTTTGTTTGTTTGTTTGTTTGTTTGGGGCAGAAGGAAATTACCTAAATCCACATCCATTTTCTTATACTCCACACACTCATTAATCACCATCCCCACGGGAGAACCTCAGTAACCCGCTCTGCAGAGAAAAGCTGGGAGAACACAGACCCCGGATGAGGTGAGGGAGAATGATCAATACCTCTGAGATAAGACCTTGTACGGCGGCATGGCAAGAATGCCTCATCGTCCTGACTCAAGTCTGAGACCCCAAACGCCACAGCTGTGCAATATATCTGAGAGGTACGAGTGGCAACTTCCTGTCAGAAACCTGAAACGAAAACCTTTGGGGGTCAGCTTCATCCATGTCACTTAATGCTACCCCTTTTCCCAGGGAGAAACCTCTCCCTCCAGCATGGTCTGAATTGGGTCCTCCAATATCCTACCCTCTTGGTACCTGTGAGCAGGACCTTTCTCAGCAGTAGCATTCTCAAGAGGCTATGAGGTAACAGGAGCTCATTTTTTAGAGTACCTTCAGTCCTAATCCAAGAAGAGATAGGACAGAGAGGGGTAGACAGAAGGGAGAGCACCTTGTGACAACAAAGGAAGGAACTAGTGAAGCAGCTTCAAGTTAAGGATGCCCACGATTGCCCCGAAATGAAGACATGGATATGAAATACATTCTCACTCAGAGCCCTTAGGAATAATCAACACAGCCACCATCCTGATGTCAGACTTCTAGCCTTCAGAACTGTGAAACAATACATATCTGTTCTTAGAAACTACCTGGCTTGTGGTTCTTCATTCTAGCAGCCCCGGAAAGCTAATGCAGATTTGGGGTAATGCCTAAAATAATACACAGATAGTACTCATTCAAATGATTCTTGCCATCTCTTTGTAACAGCTGATGACATTAAATTGAGCTAGCATAGGCACTTGATGCACATATTTCCAACCTTGGATATTTTGAGTTAAAATGAAGTGTCAAGTTAAACTCACAGGGGCAGTTCTCCTCTGTTCTATAGGATTGCTCTGGGTTAGCATGACTCAATGGCAGTGGGGGTCTTTTGAGTAGTTAATTACGAGACCTATAATGCATAAACATGAGTGGAAATGAAGGCACAAGCCTCTCCACCAAAGAATGGGGACACATAGAGACTCGTCCCCCACAGATCGAGCAGGAGATGCATGAAACAATCACCCAGAAATACCAAGGACACTCAAAGAGCTCTCAGGATTTTATGCTTCTGCATCCAGTTGTTTCCTGAGACTTGGCTCCATTTTTGACCTTGATTTTCAAGAGACAACCCAAAATCATCTCCCTGTCTTCCCTTAAGGAAGACTGAGTTGGTTTCTGTTACTTGGAATAAAGAAGTGTGACAGTCTCCTGAGATCTTCAAAAAGCTTCCCCTGAAGGCTCCCCAACACTGCCATCTCCGCTAAAAATGTTTTTTACTATTACTGCGTTTGGTTCCCTGTTCTTTAGGAATGATTTCAGAAGGCTTTGATACCTGGCATCTGTAAAACTTGAGAACAGAGGACACCTCAGGCAACACAATTCACACATCAGTTCAGTAGAAGTGAAATGTTTGGCCTAATTTCTTAAAATAAAGTCATGTTTATGGGTGGTTCGTTTTCTCCTGTCCTAGTTGCTAATGTAAGCATTGAAACTCTGCATGGATTTGACCCTCATCTCTGAGACTGCACGATCATTTCAGGAACTAGATCGGGACTGGTATATCTTCATTTGGTGTTTTCACTTGTCAAGTAAGAATTGAAATTATGTACAGGTCGATGTATTCAGTCTTTTGCCATTTATGAAATGTTGTCAACCACAGTGCCTCGTTTGATCTTCACCAAGGTCCAGGGAGAGATGGAATAGGACCAAGTATCCTTATTTTATAGATTTCAGAAGAAAAAATATTTGTCCTAGGACAATATCACAGGATCTAAGCCCCTGAAAAGCAGTTACCAAGTCTCATTCATTTTAATATGAGGTTTACCCAGACCTGATAGTTTATCGAGAGAGACAAATTATTTGATCTCACATAGCAATTCCAACCCTTTGATAGTGGATGCCTCTAGTATTGTGTTGGAAGGGATTCTGAGTGTGCATATAAAAGGAATACCAGGATTGACTAGAGTTGTCTCCTGATGGGCGAGGAGGAGAGAGCAGCCGATCAATGCTCCGTATTTCTATCTCTAGAATAAATACTTCATCAGTGTCTGTGGTGCGAAACTAAACCGGCAGTCCTAGGATCATGTTTGTTGATGTTCTTTCCATTATATGAGGCAGAGCTCCCACTTCCAACCCGAATACCCCAAGCCAGGGGTTAGCAGACCCTGGTCCCCAGACCAAATCTAACTGGGCAAGTGGTTTTGTCAGTACAGCTGTTGAAGCAGAGGCACACGCTATATATTGTTTATATATTGTCTACAG